TGCCCCCCGCGGCCCGGCCCGGCTGCCCGCACCGGGGCAGCGGCGCTTCTCGCCGGAAAACCGGTGTTTGAGCGTAGCGAGGGCGGATCGGTCCCCCCCGGCTGTTCCTTGTGTGCCTGCCCCTGCTTTAGAGGCGCGCATTGCTGCGACTTCATGTCCCGAGGCGGTAGTGGTGGAGCCAGCCTTGTGCCCCGTACCGAATATTGCACTTAATCGATGTAAGAGCACGCGAACAGATTTCGGTGTTTCGGAGTGCTCTTGTGGCTTTTTTTTTTCCCTGAGAGAATACAGGGTGTCTGGGGTGTTCTGCAGGGTTAGAAGGCAGGTGTTGGGGTGGGGGGAAACGGGGGGGTTTATTTCACTTCTTGTAGTCCAAGATGAGCTTCTGTCTTTTCTTCCAAAGCGCTTTCTCTAGGAGTAGTGACAAGTTATAAAGCAGTAGCACAGAATGGGCTCTGTCCACTTAAAAATGCAGTATTTGCAGAAAAAGAATAGAAGAAAGACACGGTGCATTGGAGGGAGGGCTACCGCTCCCCTCACCCTCCCAAAAAAAGACAGAAACCTGTAATAATGGCTTGACAGCACATATGTTTGGAAATAAGTTTTGTTGGGTTTTGGGGCAGAACTCTGCTGTTGTGGGTAGGATGCACATTTATATTTTCAGAGCTGTTAATAAGGAGATTTGTAAGGGACGGTCTTTTACTGGCCTCAGGAGTAAAGACCATTACAAAACTGAAGGTGGACAAGAGGCTGTCGTAACGAATAGTTCAGAGGGAGGGGTACAATTTAAAAAAAAATAAAGAGATGCATTCAGGATCCTAAACCGACATTTAAGAAGAACTAGATGTGAAAAGTCATACGCTTCTCTTGGCTATAATAGGTGCAGTTTCCCCTCTCCTCCACAAATTAATGAACAAGGTATGAGGCAAAAATTGAAAGGGAAGAAAAGAAATACGGGGAGGAGGGTAACACAGGAAGAGGCAGATTGTGAGATAAATAGCTGGGCTTCAAATGGTGGGTAGGCAGTTTCCAGACAACAATAGAGGATGATTGTTTTCCTTCCGAGTTTAATATTCCAAACATAACTGTTGTGTCCATTACAAAACTGGTCTCAAATCCTCATCCAGCCTCCACAGCTTGCAATTAGTTTTTTCCAATGGTCTAGAAAGGTAGGTAGGACTCTGTTTACAGAAAGCAAACAAAATCATGTCAAAGGTATAGATTTAAACACGTGTAAAGACATCAAAACGTTGAAGCTTTGCGCTACCACTTCCCAACTTGCTTGTGCTATCTATTTTTTCATTTATGAATAAGGCAGAAAGTTGATTTGTGACATGGAATGGCTTTTACGCATAAATTTTGTAGTTTGTTTGGTATTGGACTTCATACCAAGTTACTGCTGGATACTTGCAGATAAGAATTTTAATTTTTTTCATAATTAGTTGAAGAGGCATAGATGCTGTGTTTGTCTGTTTTCTTTTCTATACAAATTCAGTGCGTAATTTTGTTAGACTACACCCTGGTAAGTCAGTGTGACTAGTTCAGCCAGAACTACTTGTCTGTAAGAGGACATCCAAAAGCATGTTGCTCCCGTTGCTTTTGGGCAGCCCTCTGGGTATTGCTTATTGAGGAGGTGTGGGATGGTTGCCCAGACACTTACAACTGCATGAAAAAAACCCAAACTGAATCATGTTGTAACGAGTTATGGTGACTGTACTTCTGACAAGTTAAACTGTAACTGTTATCGAGTGTGTGTGGTGGGGGTAAGCGGTTGATGTTGCATAGGCTGGAGTTTTGGGAAGTGTGTTTTGTTTTCCTTTGTAGGGTTTTCCTTAAACACGGAAAGTGCATTATTTATGTTTCTTCCTATAGAACTATCTTGTGCTGTTTACGTAGGGTATGTGAGAGCAGGAATTCTCCCTGTTTAGCAATACAGGGACTACCTGTTATTTGTTGCTTGGAAGCTAATTTTTGTGTGCCATTTAGGAGGGTCCATCAAAACTCAAGAGGAAACAAATGGGGACCAAGAGGGTGTGTGTTCACCATAGACTTAACGTTAAATCTTCCTGTATTTTAGGCCGAACTCACGTCAGCTGCTATTTCAAACTTGTAACATAGGCTCATTTCATCAATCGTACTACCTGAAGAAAGTCTGGATTTTACCACGTGGTTTCAACCTGCATAGCTTCAAGGATAGAGCTGAGGCAGGGATTAGAGTTTGAATTGTGATAGTTCTTCAGTGCATTCCTGTGATTCTCCGGGGATTGTATTGTCAAGTCCTCCTACCTACTCTGTTCACGCTTACCGTCTCAGCCCAGGAGTGATTTGCTGGGTTATATATAAACTGGTTAGCATTTAAGCTTCCCGTTTCCTGAAAACTGTTGTCTTTCTACAGAGTTGAGTTTGATTACACAGGGCGAGCGGATGCCCTGGAAACCCTCATCCTGCTCCATAGTTAAGATGACCCTGTCTGAAAGGGTAATGACAATCATGGTTTTTTGAAGAATGTGTCCAAACTCCTTCTGTCTGAAAGCATTTTAAAGAGGCTGTGTGAGGATGAGGTTTTTAAGTGGCAGTTTATTCCGAGGTGCCTGGTACCTGAGGGTAAAACATCAACAAAACATCCAGGATGATGCATGGCATCCTGGATTGGGGTGGGGGGGAGGGGGGGGAAGTTGACTGCAAAAGTAGAGCACCCTTCGCTATGCTTAAAAAAATCGTATTTGTGAGATCTGGCTGTAGAAGTCAGCCCTGGGAAAGAAGGGCCGAAGCCAGCTGAGGGGGAAGAGGACGAAGGATGGATCCAGAATGCAAACCAGCTTTTGTGGCCAGAGGATATCCTTGAACTGGATTAGCTGGCTCCTCTGCGCTCCAGGAGTGGAAGCAGTATCGGGTGAAGCCACAACCAAGTAAGAGGGAGCTACTGCTCTTCATGGAGGGTCAATGTAATGTATGTAAGAGGGTTTAGAAAAAAATACCACTTCTTGTCTTTAGAGACTGCTCATTTCTGCAGGGCAGCAATTGCTTCAGCTGAAAGTAGACCCTCGCTCCCCTATTTTCTCCAGCTATGGGATATGCACTGCTTAGGTTCTGCCTTGGAAAATATCAACCTGCACTACATTCTGGTGCGAATACATCACCTAATTGTATGATGCTAATTAATGTTTTAGAGCAGGTGAGACTGGCTGTGCAATTATGCACATCCAGGCATGTTCACATGTTAGAACGTCACATCTAACTATAAGTAAACAACTTTGTTGTTACTGGAGGGAAAGTGAGGTCCCAGGCAGAAAGCTCGCTGCTTCCTACTCGATGAAGCTGAGAAGGGGGGTGGGGAGGGGAAGACAGGCTTCATGGTGGTGTTAGCATTTAACTTCCCATGTGTTCTTAATCCATAATGTGGTGTTGTAAAGAAAAATTGAAAAAGCAAGTTCCTTAAGAAGTTTCTGCGGTTGAGTTCAGTATGAAAAATTTGACCAAAATTATCATCATATCTTCTCCTCTAGAATTCTTGGTGTGGGGAAGTTCACGTTCGTTCTGCATCAGTCCGTGTAGCATCTTAATGGACTTTAGACGTGGACCTGTGGAGCATTTGTCTGGCAGCAAACTAACAATGAAGTCTGTGTAGTCAGTTGTTCCTCTTCCTACTTAGCAGCAGCACTGAATATGGGAAGTTTTACAGCTGAGCTTCCAAACTGAAATAGTGCTATGACCATTGCTGATAATAGGCCACTGGTCCAAATAACCTATTTTTTCACTTGCAGACCTTGATCTATATGTCTGCTTTTAAAAAAGTTAAAAATGGTATGGGGCATGCCATTGCTTCTGTGGACTAGCAGCCTGGTGCATGGTGGCCACTAAAAACACTTGCAAAAATGAGATGAAGGCATACCATGTAAATAAAAGTATCACCCTGTTGCACTGCTGTCATGTAGATAGTTTTAAAAAAAAAAAAGTATCACTGTTGTGTAGTGAAAAATACTACACTCTGATTTATTTTTGGAAGAAAGTCCCACTCCTGCTGGGTTAATTCAACCACCTAGCATCTAGACCTCTTGAGAAATTGATTTTGACCAGCAGGGGGAAGGGGAAGATTAAGGACAACTTGAAACAAAAATGGCATAATTTTCCATGATTTTGAATGCAGGACAGATACATTCCTAGATAGAAAAGGAGCAGCTGAAATATAACGGGAATGACACTCTATCCTGAGCATGGACTATTTGCAGGACAGGGTGTGGATGCTCACTCCCGATTTACTCCTCCATGTGAGTAGGTTCTGTAAGTGCTGGGTAGTTCTGGGGGGAATCAATCCATACGTTTCTGAAATGAAAATAAACATTAGCATATGTGCCTCTTTTTTCCTGTATAGCATGCCATTACAAATGAGGTGTCACACATTAGGGCGCTTAACATGGTTTATTCACTGACAGCTGGCCTGCCTTGCCTGGCTCCTGGAAGTGCTAATTGAATACTGTACCACTCTTTATTAAAGCGTTTGCTAAGTCTTCTTGTGTCAACTTTTCCCTAGTCAGTGGCATGCTGATACAGACAAAACACAAAGGGTTTATAGTAAGCTATTCCAAATCATGTGAGTAAAATAGAACTGAGAGTGCGTGTGAATAACAATACTACATGATCTTAAACATGCCCTGCAAAACAAGTTTGTCACTGTATTAGGTATGGCTTATTTCTCTGTTTTCCTTGACCAAGCCATAGTGGTCAGAGGTGTGCTTTCTGGTAGCCTATGCCAAGTCGTTTGAACTAGGAGAACCTTAATTTCCATAAGCTTATTGATGCAAATGTGAATTGGCAGAGTAATTGCTGTGTTGACTTGAAAGGCCATTGCACTTATTGTCTTCAAAGCTATTTTTTATGATGAGCCAAGTAAATGGTCTGTCTCCACATAAATGTTTGAAGAGCGTTTAAACCTCATGGTACTCTTGTGTTCAGAGTTGGTTTTCTGCTGCCCTGGCTTGTAAGTAAAAGAACCCTGAAGGAGGTAGGCATTGAAATCTTGTTGCTAGCATTTGTAAGGATCAAGCTTCTAACTTGTTTGGACAAGAAACGCCAGAACTTCTGAATAACTGGCTGTCATGTGGCCAGGGATGTTCAGAACTTGTCTTTTGGGCTGATGTCTGCATGATGGTGTCTGGGTCAGCTGGAAAGGATAATACTTCAAAGAACTGCAGATCAGAAAATAAATTAAAAGGCAGAT